TGGGGAAGACCATCTTGCTTTGCCCTTTCAGCCAAAGCTGTGTAGAAGGCCATGAAATAACAGGTGCAGCAGGAGGTTCTTGCATTAAAGTACGTAAAAAGTTATTAAAGAAATTATGACTAACTAAGCTGCTTAGTATTTTAAATCAAAGAATTTGGTACATTTTCAAAAGCAAATACTGTAGTATGTAAAGGACAGTATTAAACAGTCACTAAAGGTACTAATTGTCATATTTTGAAGGTTAGAAGTGGGTCCAACCCATTTCTGTGGGCTTCAGAATAACTTCCATTCTAAGCAATACATACATGATAGCTTAGGAGTCAAGCACATTTTACTGTTTCACTCGGTAAATTTGAGGTGAGATGCAAGTTGTTCAATCTTTTCATAATTAACAAGAAAAAAGGAGCAGTAACAAAAATTGTCCATAAAAGAAACACCATCCTCAACTTCAGTCTCTCTGACAAAGTATCAAAGATGTGTTAAAGGTAATGCTGTTAAATTTTATATATTAAGTGGGTATGCAAATAAAAAGAACTGGAAATTGGCAATTCAGGAATCTCCAAGCTCATTTCCTATAAGTACACTTAGAGAAAGAAAGAAAGAAAAGAAAACAAGAAAAAAAAAAAGGAAATTAAACGCTTGCTGTGAATAACTGATGGAGAAAATCTCCCATTTTGCTGTTTGGACCAGTCAGAGATGACAAGCTTATTGTCATGTTAATAACAAACAAAGCACAGAAAAATATATCTTGAATGCTAGCAAGAGACTGGTTTTGTAAGCCTCTCTTTATCCCATTTTTTACTGATAACATCTTGGAGGTGAATTCTCTATTTCAATTTTGTCTTGTAAATCTGTACAAGAAAATCTCATTTTCTTTGTTGATTTTGTACAATTTCAGACCTGCGGCACCCATTTGGTATTGGCAGAATGTTGCAGATATGGTTCCTGTAACAGTTTTTAAGCACATGCAATAGCGTCATTTCAAATCCTTTCACTGAAATTTACCTACAGGAAGTACAACAATAAACTGCATAATTATATCATCCAGAGTAGCATGGAAACTTTATCTGGTAACATACTAGTCTGAAAGTAAGAAAGTATTTTCTTTAGAGTCCTACCAGTTTTCTTTTGCTTAGCAAATAATCGTTGATAGACAGAACCAAGCACTTCTCACAATAAGTAAAAACAGATGCATTACTTAAGAAAGGAATGTAGGATTCAGAGTCAAAATCATTTCTTGAGTACTTCAAAGTCCAACTCTGTTCAATATATTTGTCCTTATTCATTGTGTGCAGATAGTTTTGAATGGCAGCATGTCAAAGTATCTTTTTGTATTAGACAAATGGCATTCAGTACAGAAATAATTATAACCTTCCAGGGTATCAAGACAAGGGGAAATGAATCATAGTTAAGTGTATTCAAAGATACTGCATTTCTATCAGCAGTGCATCCCCCTCCTAGTCTGCTGGGATGGTTCAGGATGAAGCTCTGGTAATGGGTTTAAATGTTGACTCCTGACACAGATTTTTATTTGCTAGTCTTTTGATCTGCTGATAAACTACAAATAAATTACCTGTATTCCACATGATGTCATCAATTCCATCATACATTGTTTTCAGCTGTTTGTAACAGAAAAGACTAAGAAAATATGACCTGTTTCTTTTACATTATTGCTGTGGACAGTCATATCTCCTGAGTCATAGAATCCAGTCAATATATTAAGAAGAAATTCAAGTCAGCATTCAGTTATTTCAGTGTCTTAATATCTGAAAAAATGCGGTTCCTTGAGGACAAGTGCTGTGATCCAAATGGTAAAGCTGCCATTTATTCACATAGAAATAGTTAAATTGTTGAACCTAAGGGTTTGCCTGTCTTTTAGGAATATCTGAAAACCTGGTGTTGTATATTGAAAGTTCCAAAGTATAATAGCCAACATTTATGTTTATGTTTAAAATTTCCAGTCTTGTATCTCACTTGCATACCAACCTGCTATCGTCTCTAGTTAATTAAAAATTTTATTATTGAGAGCCTTATGCTCTCTGCTCACACACACATTAGAAAAAAATCTTACACTTCAGTATACAAATTGATCCCAAGATAGGAAAAGTCAAAGAGGAAAGTTCATTTTAGGTATATTGCAGCACAGCTGATCTAGCATTTTGGCCTTTGCTTCGAAGTATCACTTACTGGCTTACTGCTAAAGCATGGATTAGGTGGAATAGGGGTTTGTTCTAGCTTGTCATCTGAATGCTTAAACATAATCTGCTTTTTAAAAGACATTCTCCAGTTTTATGTATGGCACATACAGTAGTGGCATAATGCATTATTAAAGTTCAGATTGAAAAAAGATGTGTTTTCATGAAGAAGCAATTTGTAGTGATTGTAGAAAAAAAATCTTTTGCTTCCTATGCAGGAGCAGATCAGAAAAGAACCTAGACATATCTAACTCATTTTCTTCCCATTGTGTTTGTCCATTAAGCAGATGAAGCACACACTTCCCATGCTGTTCCATTCATACAGCCCAGTGTTCATTCAGAAACAGAACGTTTCCTTTAGTTGATGGATTAAAGGCAGGAGAGGGGGAGGTGTGTAAAAATGTTTGGGGATGTGCAATATTTCAGGAACAACATTTAAAGGTTAATTCACACTAGAAGTTTGTAATGTATATTTTACACAACTTCAAAACAAAACCGGTTCTGCCTCTTAAATGAACAAAAACAACTTTTAAAGAGAAAGACCCAGTGAAGGTTTTTGTGCAATTGCTGAGAAGATAAATGTCAGGTTATTTTTAAAAGCAATCTTGTATTACACTTTCAATACACTAAAAAAAAAAAAATAAGCAAATACAATTTTTTCACCCCATCTTGACTGACCTTGCAGTACATTTTGGGAGGTTGAAATATGAACCTAAGAATGTGTATTAGTGACCTTAAAAAAACAGCAAGTAAACTCTGTAAGCAACTTTAAAGGTTATTGTTTGCTTTTTATCTTCACTTGCAGACCAGGTGTCTCTAGCAAAGTAAATCTGAGGAAAAGCTACTTTTTGTTGGAGGCTCTTTGTGAACAAAACAGATGACATAGAGAGCAGGTGTTAAAATAGTGAAAAAGGCAAACAGTAGATATTTTACAGGATGTTTAGCTGTGGAAGAGCTAGGAAAAAAACAACAGGCTGTTCTAAAGCATCTTATTTAGAAGCCTTTGCTCAAATACAAGAAACATTTCTCTGTCTTGTAAATCAGAATCTATCTTTTGATCCCCCAAAGAATGGGTTAGAGATACTTATCCTATTCCTCTTGGCACTGAGTTCCCAGGGGCTGACAGGAAAAAGCATAGTTTTTACTAAATAAGGATGCTTACTGGTTTCTGTTTACCTGATGCCACTTATGATACTGTGTTTGTCTACTTAAGTGACATTTAAGACTGAAGTGCTGTGTGATTTACTATTTATGTTAGGAAATTGCTTAGCAGCTGGGTAGCTTAGACTGTTCTACTTTGTGTGCTTTTCATCCTGCATCGCACATCTGTTAATTGTGGCATTAGCATTACAACAGTGAGCATTGTAAATTAATAAGTAGAAAGGTAAGTACGTGGAGGAAAGTAAGTTTGCCTGTTAACAAAAAAAATCCAAAAACTACTGAACTGACATGATTTGTGTCTCTAAATTAAGCGTCCTAAACCTATAAAGAGAGATTTAGAATTCCACACTGGAGCCTTCGAGTGTATGCATTTTGGATTTAATCTTCAAGGCTCATTTCCAGGTTGATGAAAACCCTCTGCTGTTTGTTTTGGAATGGGAAGTTTAACACTAACAAATTCGCCAGCAGGTTTCACTGGTTCTATCACAGGAGTTCTGTAACTTTGTAACTGATGAGAGGAGCGAGTCCTAATGCAAAATTATTTTGTAACTATGTATGAAATGGCTATTCTTTGTAAAAAACTGAATTCTCTCTATTTGCAACACAGATTTTTTTTTCGCTATGAAGAAACTATTATGGCATCACTGGAACACTTATTTGGAAATACAGTGCCAAGTCCTTAAAATATTTATTACTTAGAAGATAGGCATGTTGGTACAAAACATAAAGGCTCATAAATTTACTATGCAATTAGACTATACTATAACACCTTTCCAGGTAGTAGTGAAATAAAGGTTTTTAAAATCAAAATCTGTTGAACTGCATAGCATTTTGAATCAAATTAATTTCTGTAAATTTGTGAAATAGTGATCAGGTTTGTTCTCCAGTAATAATAAAAATATATGCTGCAATTTTTTTTCCCCTGCTCTTTCTGGTACAAATGTGCCACTTTGGCAATAAACATGTCAGTTTTCCCTTAGATCCAATGGTATTGCATTAAGGGAAGATCTGTGGTATCTGTAACACCTTTTCCAGACTATTTTTCCCTTGAATCTTGTACATTTCACTGAAAATGTTACAGGATGCAAAGGATAACCAGTAAAGAATTTTCTTGAAATTCTATCACTTTACAAGGCTGATTTCACTGCAAATCTGACTTGCAGCCTTTGCTGGAACTACAGTTCTTTATCAGTGGGATTTAATAGGTTAATTTCTTCATTCAAGTTTTGAAATCACATTTCAGATAACATTTTTCAGGCATGCCTCAGATAAAGGTATGTTCTATATTCTTTAAATAGATCTAAAATAGCCCTTGCCAGTTAATTATAAATTAGTAGCTGCTTCTCTCATGTCAGAAACTTCAGACATGCCCACAATCCATCTGTGTATGTAATTTGTCCAAGCAACTCAAATGTAATGGCAAACTTTAAGGCACAGTCTCTGCACAACTGTGCAGTTCACTCTTCCTTGCCAGTTAATATTATGTTCCCAGACTTCAAAACAACATTTTGATTGAAAGGTAATTCAGAAATTTAGCCTAGACAATGCACTCTGTGAATTTAGGCACAGTTCAAGAAAAAAGAAATCACACTGAAAGAGATAACAGGATGTTAGATTTTGGGGATAGAAATTATATGACCCTACCTTCATGAGCCACTGAGTGTTGTTTTCCATGATGTTCTCAAGTAGCTGCAGTCTTTGAACTGAATCATCATAGTCCAGAGGTGCATCCCTTTGCACCGCGTTGGACACGTACGGAGTGGAGGAGCGGCAGTTGTCCGCCTCGGGCAGGAGGAAGGTGTAGCTGCACGACCCGTGCTGAACCTGGTACTGCTTCTTGCCTATCGTCTCCATGCTCTTACTGAAGGAGTTGTATCCTGAAGCTAAGATTATGCCGCAGCCCAAAAAGAAGCAGGCGGCCAGCTGCATTTTAATCCCTGCGGTAGCTCGGCGGACCTAGAGAGCCTGGATGCGCTGGCCAGAGCCCGGCCCTAGCTAACCTGCGACGCAGCCGAGCGCTCCGCTGCCATGTGCCGTCAGGCGAGGGCTGGCCTTGCCTGCCTGCCCCGGGCGGGCCGGGGAGGTGCGGCCGCTCCCGCCGTGCCCGCAGCTGTCAGGCGCGGGAAGCAGCTGCGGCCGCCCCGCCTGGCCCGCTGCCTTCCTGCGCCGCTCCCCGCCGAGCCCCGCGCCTGGCCAGCCCCGCCGCTCGCTCCCCTGCCCTTATAGCCGGAGTGGGTAAGAGCCGGCACACGTGTGGAGCGGAGCCGCTCCTCCCTCCCGGGCTCGCCGGGGCCTGGGGGCAGCGCACAGCGGCTGGCGGGAGCGGGGCGGCGAGAGGAAACCCCAGGGAGGAGCCGGCAGCGGCAGGACCCCTGCGAATTCCTGCAGCACGGCTCTAATTAAGAGTTTCCTAGACAGAGCAATCAGTTCCGATAGCCTCCAACTATGCTAGTAAATTATTTGTGATGGTAATCATTTTTTAGCTCTTTACCCTCGACCACCCCCACTAAGCACACACACAGACACACACAGACACACACACATGCATATATATACGTACGTATGTCCCTGGGCTTGTTTGTTCTGAATTTATTTTCTTTAAAATGTGCTGAACCAAGATGTAATTTAGATGGTGTACAATGCATTGTGGAATTACGGAGAAAGACACTGTCCCATGCATATAAAAGCAGGCTTGGGTACATCCTTGCAAAGAGAACATGAGGGGCAGTAATTAGAGGTTTTCAGTTTAACATAGAATTTGTATTTTGCTGAATCTCTGAGATGAACACTCATTTTTAGGCACGTCTTTCAAGAGTTAAGGGTTTGCAAGCTTTTTATTTATTATTTTAAAGGCACTTTTTTTTTTTTTCTTTATGTCATGGCTAACTTTGAAAGTGCTAATGTTAATAAAAGAGTTAGAAATCACAACCTAGCTGGGACTGGAAGAGGAAGAACCATCCAGAGGCAGTGGCAGTAAGGGATAGCTCAGGAAGTGGCATGGCTAAATGGGAATTACCCTGTTAGCTCTCCCTAGCCCAATTCTGTGCCCTTGGGAGTGGGAAATACCCATAAAAGGGGAGAGAAGTTCTAATAAAGTCTTTGAAATTTATATGTAAGAGTAAAAAGGACTACTTCCCAACTCCCATGGTCTCTGCAATGATCGGTCATTTTGAAAAAGTGGAAAATTACTAGCATTACCAGACCCTGGGAAGGAAAGAGTCCATTCCAGTGAAATTTTGGAAAAGTTTGCCTCTCTGTAAGGAGAAATTGTCTTCTTGAGACCAGCATGATAGGATACTGACTCCTGAAGACAAACTGCCTGAGATTTTGGCTAGGTCTGGATCTGGAAACTATAGATTTTTCTTAATTAAAACAAACAAAGGGAATGCCTTGCTAGTCAAACTAACATGAATCGCTGACCAAAGTTTCTCATATTCAAGGAAAATCCCAGCATGTCTCAGGATCTCTTAAGACAGACTCTTACATAACTTGCTTTATCTCATATAGTGAATTAACATGGCTTTACTCATGGAAGTTGTGTTCAGGGGTTGTCAAAAGGAGTTGCAGCAGCTAAAATTCATGTCTTAGATTGTTGGAAACTGCTGATATTTCTTTACATAGTTACCTCTGGAAAGGAAAATCTCTAGAATTTAATTCTGGTGAATTCCAGAAAGATTCTGATTATATTTGGACTGTAATGAGTGAAACCAATTTGCTGAATTTTTTCCCGTGGTGTATTCATATGCCACTGTTCATCTTTCTAACCAGAGGAAACAAAGGGATATGTTTGGAATGGTCAAGACTATTTGCAACAAAATTTATGTATTTGGAGGGTTTGGTATATGAAATATGCATTCTCCATCCCTTCAATTTTGTCTTGCAATACCCGAGCAGATAATGTGACAGCTACTTGCACTGATAACAAAGTTTCAAACTTGTTGTATACTGATTTCTAATTTTCAATTAATTGAAGTCTTTGAAAGAATGTTTAATTCCATGTAAATAACAGTCTTTGCAAGATACTTGACCAACCTACTATTATCCAAAAGACAGAAAATAGCATTAGATTAACGCACTACACTGTGTGAAGCATTTCTATCTAAGCAGACATTCCAATTCAGTATTTTCTTTTATTTGGGTGCTTTAATTAATTTGCTAATTTAAATGAGAATTTCCTATTGCAACTTGCCCTTAAGTTGGTCTGTTCCCTGTTTTCCTTGCACAGCTAGCCCAAAAAAATTAGGGGCCATATCATACTAGTCATCCTTCCTTTCACCACCTTGTGTGTATAGTTAATAGAGTAGTGCTAAAAATCCGATTGCTCCAGCCCTGGGACTATCTGTCTCTTAATGAGGAAGAATTGGAGGATAATCTTTATTTTTCTGATTATATTTTCATAGATTTTTAAAATTCTTTAGTTACATATTAAATGAAAATATGAGACTGAGCAGTGTAGTATTTTAGGAGTGTGCTTTTTAATTATTAGAAGTCTACTCAAGGGACTGAACACATATAAAAGACAAGATGTAAAGGAGAATCTGCTGAGAGTTCATTGGACAGGATCTCATGAGAGGCTTGATTAAATCAGTTGTTTTTGAATGGCTATAAACTTGCCATCTGTATGCCACCCTGAGTCACAGCACCATTGTAATCTGGCAGCTCAGTTTTGCCGAGTTTTGGAGGAGAGATGAGTGTCTCTAAAGGTTTGAACTGGAGTCTGTTTTCCTTTATGAAAAGCCAAAGCATAACCCTGGGAGGCCCTTGTGCTGTAATGAGGCCAGGAGCCAAACTGAATTTGGAGACTGCCTAGGAAACCTTGCTGTATCTTGGGCCTCCACTAGGGAGAACTGTGGTTGTAGGAATACTGGAAAGAGAAACAAGTTCACCTTTTACTGTGTTTTAAACTGGGCTTGGTTTTTGTGTCTTGGTTTTTTGCCGTTGTGAATGAATGAATGAGTAAATGGCCAGTTTCTAGTTGCTATGGCAGCTGTCTGCAGTTTGGGGAAAAGATAAGGAAAGCACAGGTATTATTCTGAGAAGTGACAACAAACTCCTAATGGAAGACACTCACCAGCACAGCAGGCACCACCACTTAGCTTCTACTCACTGTGCTTCTCATCTAGGTCTTGGAGTAACACCCTGAGGTGCACCATAGTAAAATTTTCCCCAAGCTTTCATTGATAATCCCAGGCTGTCAGGGCAGTAACTGAAATACACCCCCCCAAACACACGTAACCAAGAGAGAGTTTTGCTGTTTCCCCATCTGGGTCCAATGGACTCATATTGCTTTAATGAGGTGCTCTCTCCCACTGTCCAGGAAAGTTAGTGATTGTTCACCTTGCCAACGAAATAAATACACATCCCTTTAACCCTTCGCTGCAGCTTAGTGCCGTATTTGGTGCATCTTTTGGAGCAGTAGATTGTGATCCTTCACCCTTTCTATCCTTTTGGGAGCAGCTTTCCCAGCTGTGGAGGAGGAAGTGGTCTTCTCTGCCTCTCCAGAGAGTCAAAGCCAGTCAGAGTTCAGGGGAAAAGAAAGTAGTAACAGCTAAATTTAGAAAACTGGTGTGAAAAGTAAGGCAAGTTAAATCCATTCTTGTCCTTGAAATCTGAGGAAGAGGAAGGAAGATGCCTGCATACAGCCTTTTTACTGAGCCTTAGAGGCATTTTAACAAGTCTGCTTGAAAGGGAGGACTTATTCTGAAAACTGAATGACTAAGATCTGTCCCCTGCCAGTTATGAGAATGACCATTTCTTTGTTAGACATGTTGAAGTAGAGAGGAATTTAAATAATTTGGCATGGAGTCTTATAAATGTCAGAAACTGAGTAAAAAGTTATAATTCAGGCTAGTCACATCCTCTCAGTATTTCTTTCATGTTTGTTGTTCTCTTCATCTTTCATTTCTGCCGTCAATATGGAGTGTTGTATTTACATTCATGATACATTTTTCCTGTAAACTAAAATACAGCTTTCAGCCTGTGAGTTCCTGCTTTCTTTAGAGCTGAGTGTATATAGTATATGCCATAAAATACCAAATAGTGGATTGACATATTTAAAGTACAAATTAGATTTTTCCGTTTTTAGAAAGAAGATACCCACTCTACAGAACTCACCTTATAAGCAGAGCTGAAATGTGTATTTTGTCAAAACTAAACATTTAGAACATTTTGCCAGATGTGTGCAGGCAATTTCCTTTCCTGGGAAACAGTAAATTCCCTTACTCAGCCAGTTGTGGGTTTCTTCCATGCAGCAGATGAGTAGGCTGCTCTGAGAGAGATGCCTGAATTCTGCTAACATTATCTTTCCAACTACCATTTTTCCTTACAGCTGCACAGCTTCTGTTTGACAGGCAGATACAGAGATCTTGTGAGATCTCTGATAGAAAAGGAAGCATATAAACTTAAGAAATATAAGAAATGTTTAGTTTTTATAAGAAAGCTTTAGTCTGCTATCTGCAAACTTTGCCACTTTAAAACTTTCAACCTTAAAACTTTCTGCTGATGTTGATTTGGTAGATAAGTTTTCATTTCAGCAGTTTACTCATTTTAGGAAGGGAAAACTACGTCATAAAATATGTGCAAACTAAAGGCAAAATCATGTAAAGGAGTAGGTTTTGGTGCTTCATTCTTACAGGGATATTTGATCTACGTATGTAAATGCAAATGCTGAAAGGTAATTTCAAAATCAAATCTGAGATGAAAAATCATCTGAAACATGAAATAAATTAATAAAGTATTTTATATATTCCTGGTATTTACATTCCTCACATTTTGACACTCAATGTTAAGTTCCCACCTTTGGGTCCTGGTACTTTAATATTAATTTATGATAGTTCCATTTGCTGTCTTCAAAATATTTTCCTTCACTGTAAGTAGTTTAGCATTTTTCTCAGGAACAAATGTCAACAAGGACAAGACTCATGAACTTGTAACTTATAAAACAGGGAGCAGGATCTAGGACCCTATTGGATTTTTAGGCTGCTGAAAATCTTGTCTGTTTTTAGATCTTACACTCTGTTTCAGAGTGATAGATTATGTTTTCCTATCAGCCAAACAATTTCTTTT